ATGCCTATAGTTGTGCTCTGGTATGTGTATAGTTCTGGAAGATGGACAAATATTTCAACTCCATTTTACAGATTAATAAAAGAAACATCACAAGCAATTAAAAAAGGTATTTAGATGGATAAAACCTTAAAAATTATGCACCATAATTTTTCAACACTCTTTGTAAGTATCACTCTCATCTGTGATTTGCCTAGGTTATTGTAACATGTAATTCTGAAACTGGGAAAATAAGGACTGCAGGTCTCTAAGTGATTACATCAGGAGGTTGTACATAAAATAATAAATCATTGTTGGAGGAATGAATTGTGGAATTTCGTAATTTCCCCACCAAAGTCAAGGACAAAAAGCCACAAGGACAAAATGTTCAGATGTTTACTTGTGTGAGACTGAACCTCTATTTAGAGGAAAAGAATAGCTTTTCCTATTTTTAGGAAAATAGGAAAATTACTTATCAGATTACATGAATACAGGAAAACCAAATTTAGAAAGTCACTTGAAAAGCTGCAGTCACAAGGATATTTTGTGTAAAGCTGTTCTTTTTAATCTCTTGAATCATTTCTGAGTGATGCTTTAAAGCAATTTTTTTATAATTTAAGTTTTTACAAAATAAAATGTTTGAATGCTCAGATGTAAATATTAAAATGTTCTTCTTAAACAACATTTTACCTGTCAGAGGCAGAATCAATTTCAAACAAACTGTGGAAAAATGCCATTTAATTATAAATATGATTAAATGAAGACTTTCTTAGACCGCAAATAGTGCAAGCTAAGAAATTACGCCAGGATAGGGGGGTTTACATCCCATGAGATACTATTTAGCTGAAAAATCAGCCCTACAAATTTTCTGGAAAAATATTTATCTTTCTCATCTATTGTTAGAGCAAGCCCACATTAAATAGAACTTGAGGTATGTATTCCATCTGTTATTTTCCCAGCATTTCAAGGGCAAATTTAAGGTGAAAAATCTTTGAAATAATTTCTTCCTTTCACTCCCAGGAGATGAGAAGTTTTCTTTTACACAGAAATAAGGAAGGAATCTCACAGCTGTTAGGCTTTTCAAATCCCACCATCTCTTCTGGAACATAAACTTTCAGACACTGTCTTAATGAAAAGGAGTTCCTCTGATTTCTTCCCAGAGAAGAAAACCCACTGCACCTCACTTCAAGAGAGTATGCTCATTTCTTCCAGCCTCATGTAGAAACGTCTATGACCTCCACCTGATAAGAAGCCCTTGGTTTAAGAGGAAAGCATGTGCTAAATTTTCCAGGGCTGAAAAGAGAATAAGACATGACTGTAAGCAGCAGGGTCCGTCAGAAAATCCCCTGAAACTGGCTACTTCAAATAATTTGGGGAGCAGAAAGAAAATCCATAAAGTCCAGCAACTCAGAAGAGGTTCTTAGTATAATTTGCTCGACTAGACATAGATATCAAAATCTGACCTGTGTTCCCTTACAAAACAGATTCACTTCAACCTAAAAATAGGCATCTAAAATAGGTGCTTATTACTCTCTCTTGTGGTGCTATAATGACTACTCCATGTGCAAATATCTTAATGAGTATGTTTAAAGTTAAACAAGAAGAATCCACCATTTTTTCCAACTGGAAAAGCAGGATGTTGCTGAGCAATGATGTGCAGTTGCCTTCCAGAACTGTCAGAAGAGCCAAGTTAAAAGAAGCATTCAGAAAGAATGGTGAGGGAAAAATGCCAGACTGAGATCTGCATAATCTAGCAAAAGTGGCTTTGTGCTCACTAGGAGGAACAAAAATGTTGCAGAGAAGTAGGTTAAGTATTTCCCTGGTACAAATCAGAAATAGAAGGGGAGGCCCTTGATAATCTAGAAATCAAATCCCCCGATAAGCAGGAGGGTAAACTGAGAAAGGGTTGAGATAGAAAAAGAGAAGGACTGCCACAGCAGAAGACAATGATCAAATCAAGCATTTAGACATGTTGTGCAGCAGTATCTGGGTAAGAAAATGATGTGAAGAATGGCCAAAGTTGGTCCTACTTACAACATCCAAGCAGCTTGAAATGCAGACTACATGCCTGAGAGCAGTCGTGCTGACTGCCCACATGTGACTCAGTGCAAAATAGAAAAACACCTGAGAAGAAACTCAGTTTCTCTCAAATATAGAGTGAGCAGCAAAACTTCTGATTGCTCATAAGTACTCACAAATAAGTCTTGTTTGCTGTTCACTGACCTGTGGGTTGCTTTACTGACTTAAAAAGGGCATGAAGGTGAGAGTGGTGCAGAGGGCTGTGGGATGTCTTAGTTGTGTGGTGTCAGCAAGAACACACTAATCCTGATGAGAAAGAAATAAATGCATACATAATATTGGCAGTCTTGGTCGATGATAAATTATGCAATAATTTGAGGTGACAAGTGACAACTGATTGACCCAACATGTTCCTGCTCCTTCCTGCTCTAAGAAACATGGATGGAGTCATGATGCAAAAGACACTTTAAAGTTTATAGTACGGTGATCACTATCTGAATTTGTTGACAATGACAATCTCCTAGACACAGCAAGTAAGATATGCAGATTTCTTACAGGTACCTTCTTGCATGACTGATTAATTGTCTGGGCTGCATACTGGCAGTGACTAAAGGGTAGGGACTGCATGGACTAGTATTAAAAGGAGCATATTCTACTAAAAAATTGAAGAGATAGTGAAGCAGGTAACTCCAAGGCTGATAGCTTTGTCTACTTAATAAGCTTCATAATAGACCTAAATTGAACATTTTTCAAGTGAGTTCAAATGGTAAAATCCTATAAGTAGCCCTGGGCTATTTGGAAAAAAAAACCACAAAGGAATCTCCATAGAAACAAAACATGATTTTTGAAGTTGCCCATATTCTTGGTCCTTCTCCATGAAATTCAAAAGGCCAAATAACAAGAGTGCTGGGTTTTGAAATGAAACATTAAATTTGATTGTTAGCAATAAGCTGGTCACATCTTGTCAGAGATAAGAAGGGTACAAAAATACAGACATCACTTCAGCAAGGAGTGCAAAGCCTATTTTAAAGACTGACTATTTGCTGAAGACCCTCCAGCCCAGTAGAAAGCAAGATGTTGATTATTTGAGACACAACAGAATGTAATGCTTTGCTTATGCTCCTGCTTCATTTCATGATGTGAATGAAGCACAAGATGGAGCACAATAGCCAGGACAGTAAGACAAAGTCTCTGTGGATCATATGGAAGGGAGTACAGGGATCGAAAGCGAACATCTTAAACTATTTTCCTGACTTCTAAAGTGAAGAAGGGTGTCAGATCTTAAAGGCATCCCAACGAGGATCTAGTCAGATACATGTTGGGTTCTAATAGTAAACCACAGGCTCCTCAGTACAATACACAGTGCTCTGGTAATTTATATTCAGGGTAGCATGGAAACAGAGGGATGCTTATAAATAGCTCACCATCTATTTATAGGATCCATAAATGCCCACTGCATTATGTGGGCTCAAATCATGTGAGATCACCTTATAGCTCCATGTTAACATTTCCTCTTTTATGGTCTTTCAAATGCTCTTGTTAGATTTTCACAAAGCTACTTGTAAATATAAAAACCATTTATAAAATATTTAACAGATGCTCAAGTGCACCTTGGGATGATGACTATGGTCTGGAATGACCTGTTTATGGGATGTGCGCCCACATTTCTGCTGAGTATTGCACTTGCAGCTTTTGGAACTGTGTAGTAGAAAGGAAATTTGCATCTTCATCCCATCATTTAAGGATTATTTAGTTTTCTTTTATTTTCTTTTAAATCCCTTCCTGATAACTCCTTCCCTATAGACACAGAATCTAACAACAGAGTGATCCTCACTAGTGTCTGCATGTTCTACTTCCAAGTCACTCTAAGAGAAAAATAGGAAGGTGATTAAGTTGAGAATAGTTAGGGGAATTAATGTTTCTACAGTAAGAACAGGGATTATTCTCAGTGTTTTGCCTCTGAGTTGTCTGCTAAAGAAAAACGTGATACTAGCACTGGATGAGTATATGATATGAAGTCAAGTATATCATCTCCCTGAGACTGTTTTATTGGATTGTATTAAAACAAACTAGTCCTGTGTAAAAGATCCAACTTTCTTCCTTCTTCACACTCATGTCAACATAATAATACAAAAACTAAAATCGTGTACACATATAGTAAAACAAGATGCATTGTCTTGTTCCCTGATAGTTAACAGACAGGTGAACTGCAGTAATAAATTGCCTCTATTATATCTAGTATGATAAAATTATAGTTTAGGTACTCTAATTTTTGGAAAATATTCTAATGGAAAGTAAGAACAGTGTAGCAGTGGTTTGAAATATGCAAGTACCCAAATAAAGAAAATTTGTGGAGTTTAAACTGGTTATTTGTTCACACTTTCAGAACAGGAAGCAGATAAAAATTTACATCACAAAAATGCATCTGACAATTAGATTTGCTTTTTCCTTCTGTGTAGAGATAGATGTGAAATCTATATTATCTATAGATAAATGTGAAATTTACTATTAAATCTTCATTTTATCTACCATGAATTTTAGGCTGATGTATGAAACAGTGGGGTCTGCAAGCAGATGAAAGCATTCCTTTTAATATTTTATTCCTCATAAATTCTCAGCAAGTAAGATGTTTAATTTTCTTTTTCTTTATTCAAATCTGAGCAAGAAAATGCAGTCTGTGTTGAACTGGCTAGGAGCTAAAAGGCAGCAGATCTATAAATGTGAAAATTAAAAGAAGATATTAAACTAGGAAAAAAAACAGCCTAAGATAATTTTCTTTTGCTCAGATATTTAGCCACAGTAGTTTAAAACCCAACAGTTTCAATTATCACTACAAGCTACTGTAATTGTCTTGATTTACAGTTCTCACTTTCTCAAGTGTAGAAATCACTCATTTATGTGTTATGGTTTAGATCTGTCAACAGCCCTTGAAAGCACTGATCCTATATCCTCCTCAGTGGGATGGAAGTGCTCTGCAGTATGCACTGAAGCTCCTGTCCCAGATGCACACTTCCCAGCTGTCGGCTAAGATCAAGTGCATCATCTTTTCTTATCACTTTAATATCTGATACATCCTGAGCTTGAAGATTTTCTATTAAATGGCTTTGGAGGGCATGGGAAGGAGTAACCGCTTCTTCCATCCACTGCATCAGCCTGAAACTGCAGTGCTTCCAGGTACTGTGGCCACATTGTGACTGTGTGTCAGGATGCGATATCTGTGCATAAACCCACCCTGTGTGTTGTAGTCTTTTTTTTTCAGGTGGAATCTGAATCCGTGTTGCTTTCATAGACCTTCTTGTGGTACAGTCAATGGCCACAACGGCACCTACCCCTCTGAGCTCCCTGGGGCTGATGCAGGCACTGCAGCTATGCTCGTCATGGAGGACTCCTGAGATCTCAGGTCAGAGACACAGTGCATATGGGGAAGGCTTGTAACTGTAATAAACACCCTTGTCCCTGCTGGTGTCACTCTTCCCAACAAACTTTCACAGACTTTCCAAAGTAAGTTTGAACAGACTTCATTGTGCTGTGGACTTAACTGGTCCTGAATCCACCTGCAGCCAGACCAGGGCAAGGATGTTTGTATTTCTCCCCCAGCATGCCTAGTTCTCCTTTAACAAAATGAAAGATGTTCTACAGCTTGCTAAATAAGACGTCAGTCCTTGGTAGATGGCAAGACCCCCATTCATGTTGAATCTGAAAGGACCACAGAGATTGGACTGAATGACAATTTGACCCATGTCTCTAAGTGGCAAATGACTGAATTTATTGCCAGCTAAGTCAGAAAATCCAGTAAAAGTAAAATACAGCACTGTATAATGGCTACCTGGCAGTAAATTTGTATTTAAGCTATTTCATTGCCATTTGTCTTTATCTGATTAAGCCACCTGATTTATAAAACATGCTGGAATGCAATTTATATACAGCAATATAATCCACCTAGTGGTCTGGTTTCCAGAACCACAAGGATAAACATGCTCAAACCGTAAAGGCACTCTCAATGCCAGATATCCATTTATAATACCTGCTGAAAGATGTCTCATCATTACCATCCCTGGTATGGACGAACTGTCAGCTACACTACCACAATCTCTTTCCAAATATTTTCAATGCAAGGAAAGTTGCAGTCATTTCTACAACACAAAGGTATTTCACAAGTTGGGAGATATTTCCTCATCAGTGCAGCAATGTCATTCACCTTCAGTGATGAAGACAACTGGGATATAACTGTGAAGTTAGCACTACTGTAAACCTTTGACAGAGAAGCCAGATTTTCCAGTGGATATGAGAAATGCCACAAACTTGGTAGAGTCCTGTGTATCTAAAGGTGGATATTGGAACAGATGCTGAACCTAACAGTGTTGGACCAGGTACCACAAACCATCATGAAAAAGTACAATTCCACTGTGCCTGTCCATTCAGCAAAGAGCACATTGTTTCCAGCAACCTCTCTAGAAATACATTTCCTAAGTAGAATACCAGTTCTTAAAGTCTTATAAGGCTGCTGAAACATTTCTAATGAAAAATCAGAGGGTAGAAGATGCCTGGTTTTCTTTCATAAAGAGCAGTGGAGTTAGTAGAATAGATGCTGCACCAAAAACTACCAAGGTTCAATTTTTTATTTATATGGGCAAGTGCAGCGAGGTTCAAAGCTGTGCAAGGTCTCTTGGACATCCCCTCCACTGCCTGGATTTAAAGGATTGCTTCTAGAGCTACAGAAAGTAAATTTGCTTATGCTTTTACTTTCAGAATCTCTACATAAGATACTTTAACCATAACAGCCAATTAAGGCCAACAGTAACTGGATTCTTCAGTACGAGCATCTCTGGCACAAGAAGAAAACTGGGATCACCTGCTGCTTCCCCATGTCAGTAAAATGCCATTTGATAGATGGCCTCAAAATTAATTATTGAGGTCAGTTTCAGCTGGGTACATCCATTTTTATCCTTTCTCATCAAAAGACAGTTTTCCAATTCATGGAGAAAAATCATGGCATAAATGTAGTTCTTTTTTGCTGTCACTGCTTATTTTACATCTAATTTTGCTACCACCACTCTGCACCTCAATCCACAGGCCCACAACCCTATACGATGAACAGCCCACAGACAAATAATCAGATAAAATAGGCCAAGATTTGTCAAGAGTTTTGTTTGATGGACACTGATCTATCATCTTGATGAACCTTAAATAAAGGAAAAGAGATGTGAACTTCAACAGTTTTTAGGCCTTATAAAACAATACTTCTAATGTGAAGTTTCTCATGCTAGCAAACCTTCCAGAATAAAGAGCATAGGTAAGGAATGGTTGCTATCAGTTGAAAAGTTAAACTTTCTGACTTAGTCTAGCAAGTGTAAAATTGGTTTCTAGTTGCAATCTGTCATAGAATCATTTAGGTTGGGAAAGACCTTTGAGATCACCAGGTCCAACTGCAAACCTAACACTGGTGAGTCCACCACTAAACTGTGTCCCTAAGTGCCACATCTACATGGTGTTTAAATCCAGATGGTGACTCAACCACTTCCCTGGGCAGCCTGTTCCAGTGCTTGACAACACTTTCAGTGAAGAAATTCTTGCTACTATCCAATCTAAACCTCCTCTGGTGAAACTTGAGGCCATTTCCTCTCATGCTATTGCTTGTTACTCGGGGGAAGTGACCCACACCCACCTCGCTGCAACCTCCTTTCAGGTAGTTGTAGAGAGTGATAAGGTCTCCCCTTAGCCCACAGGAAAACTTTCCCTCATTGCAACCATTTGTTTTTTGCAGTATCTCTCCCTGTCTTGCTGAGTGTCTCTCAGCTCTCTGTTCCCCCAGTGCCAGAGGCCTTTTGACCTGAGCATGCTCAGATTCTTTTGTGCAACCAGAGCAGCCAGAATGGAGGAACACAACATACAACACTCAGGAAAAAGTCAAAAGCAAAAGACACTGTGTCGTCTTCCACCGAACTTTGCTTGTGCTTATCATGGAGCCTGGTCCTTAGGACACAAAAATAAACTGCAAATGTTCAGTACTTGAAACACCTTTCAGAAGTGGGATGGTCTGAACGTGATTATGTTGGGCCATGCCCCAGAACACTCTGTTCACTGGGGATATGGTCCTGTGGTTCACAGCAGGTGAATGGAGTGTTCCTACCATCAACTTTGAGCTTGATAGATGTGGGGTTAATCTCACTTGAGTGTATAAATCTACAATTTAAGCATCAATATTTGATGTAGTTATTTGGAACTCTCTTAGAGATAAAGGGAAAAAACAAACACAGTTCTTTCTCAGTCTTAGATTTAAGCAGGTACATGTGTGTCAGACTTTAGTTACAACAATCAGGAAATTATTATAAACCACACAAATGAAAAAGTGGAGTCGGTTTAATGTCAACACCAAACACTATATATATTTGCCTTCACTTTTGCTGTCTTGGTCAGTGGGTTGTTGACTATCCTCCAACCTCAGAAACATATTCACCCAGACTTTGTTCCTTTTCTCTTTGTGTAGGAGAACATCTGGGCTTTCAAGGAGAATAGAAAATGGAGCTGTGAGGGTGGCTGATTTTTCTCTTCATATAGAAAAGTCAGTGTTTACTAACAGGATTAGGATATGTCAGGTGTCCCAAACCTGCCCTTTGCTATGTGCTGAAATACCAGAGTTGATCCTGCTGTTCTGTCCACTGGCTCCAGCTGAATATATAAAAGCCAAAGACAGTTTTGGCAAATAACACTGGAATAACAAAATATGAAATAATGCTGCAGAAATACTTCCTTGTACAAAATGACGCTTGGACATGGGTTCCTACTATATTCAGCCCTTTACAACGCATGTTCCCATTTCTCCTTCTACCCACCATGCTTCTGACTGGCTGTGTGAACACACTTAAAAAATGGTGAGATCAGTGATATTGCTGCTGCTAGAGATTAGATGAAAAGAACTGCTGGACACCTATTATGATGAAGAAAAGTTAAAAAAAAAAAAAAAAAAAGACAAAGAGAAACACATTGAGCCAAGACTGAAATTTTGAAGCACAGAAAGCAGTCTCTCTCTCTTCCTCTCTTTCTCTCTCAAACTACAGTTATCAAGGGCATTGAAAGACAACCTGAACCAGAAATAATTTCTCTATGGCTGGATTTCTTCATTCAGAGGAAAAGCATTAACAAAGCCCCTTATGTATTATGTCTCCAATTTAGATGTATATATTCCCTCTGTAGTAGTTGAAAATAGATGTGAAAATTTTAGCACTATTACTTATGAACAAAGGTGCACAAGAGAGAAAAGAAATTTCTTTAATCTGCTGTTTTTTAACATAATGATTCTGCTATATTTTCATTTAATGGCTAAGCACATGATATTGAGCTAGCAAGCAAACCCCTTATGCACTGCATTTTATTTGTGTATTTTTTGAATGTCTGATTACTAAGTGGCAACTAGAGATGGTTATTACAGGAAGCTATTATGTTACTTACTCATCTAATACCCTGACTTTTTATGTCTCTGTCTTAGGAAAGGTTTTAAAATGAGAATAACATTTGCAGGAGAAAAGTCTGCACCATGGACTAAATAACAGTTGGCTGTCTCACTAAGAGGACAGTCTTTCAGAAGACTGTGTTTGTTTCATGCATTACATTGGTTATCTTTTAGTATCTGTAACTATCTGTTATTGATTATCTGTGAATTATGTGGTTTTATTTTTCTTTAAAAATAATATAAAAATACAGTATATAAGATAAAAAATGAGGTTGTGGAGATGAAGCTTTCATAAATATGGTGGGATACAATGAGGATCAGATTAAACTCTGTAGATTGCTTTTACTTATTACTCTGATCCAAAACCAAAAAAGTTATTTTTACTCCCTTTTTTTGATTAATTGGAACCTAAATCTCTCATCAAGTTTTTATGAAACTTGAGTTTCATTGAGTTGTGATTTTCCACTCAATACAATTAGTTTATTTAAGATTCTTGTCCTCAGCAAGACTGTTTGCACTATGTATTATACAAGCACAGCAGTAGATGCTGCCATGTTCTAAACTGACAAATATAATCGCACATTTAAAATGTGAGTTCTGCTCATTTTTGCATACTATTTTCCAGACAATAACATTATAAAGAAAACCAGTTATATTTGCTTAATTGTTGAGCTTTTAAATTTGACAAAATGTGGTGCTTGGTCCATGAGACAAATTAAACCTGAATTAATAATAACTTT